GTCACAGCCGATGCTCACAGCCACTGTCTACGGGTCAATCCCAGCCACCGACATGCCAACAGCAACCAAGGTTCACCCACGACAGGAGGAAGCACACACCCACTGGGGGCACTCCTGCCGGCCTGGCTCAGGGGGCCAGGGAGACGGCACCCCTGGCTTCACAGGACCTGTACCCCCTGTACCCCCTGTACCCCCTGTACCTCCTGTGCCCCCTGTGCCCACCATCAGAAACAACAAAGCAGTGTGCCACCTGCTAAGCACGTGTTTGCTTCTGGGGAGATGAAGGCAGGCCATTTGGATTCGGATGGTCACGGACCGTCTGGGAGATTTGGAAGCCGAAACTCGTGCCTTCATGTGTCAGGCGGAGGAACTCGGCTCCCTGCGGCCCGATCCCGCCCCCCGTCCTCTTGAAACCGCACTTTCCCTGCCCACGACGTCCCTCTAGGAGTCTTTGCCGCATCCAGGGGACGAGGACGCTGCGGAGCCACCAGCCTGACGCACGACTCTCTGCAGAGGGGGAGCCTGTGTCCCCCACAGCGAGCCCGTGACCACCAAGCCACCAACTCACGGGGCTGCACAGTTTCTAACTGCCAGTGAGGGCGTTTCTTGGGGGGGGGGGGGGGGTGTGGGGTGCAGTTCTTGGAACCCACATGTGGCTGGGCTGGCAGTCTCCTCTCTCCTCTGCAACCTTCCTTTTCTGCCCCACGAACCTCGCTGAGCAGTATCCTAAGAGGCCGCTCCCCCCCACCCCCCACCCCGAGCGGACCAGGCCCTGGGCCCGGGGCGGGCGGGAGACCTTGCTTGGGGGGGGGGGGAATGTTTTCCCTGACACTCGCCTCTCCGGCCGCAGGGGCCGGTTCCCGCCGGCTTGGCTGTTTCCCTGGGCCCGCTGCCCCGCTTGGTGGTTTTCCTGAGGCTCCGAGGACGCCAGGGGGTGAGGGAAGGGCTCGGATGGGCTCGGCCATTGGCCAGGCGGGCGGTGATGGATGAGCCCTCCCGCGGGGCTGCGGTCCCGGCGGCAGCTGCTAAGTTTTTCCAGAGTGAACAGCGCGGGCGGCCCAGCGGGGTCTCACTCCTCCGGCTCTCTGCACTGATCTTAAGGGACATTCCCGGCTGCAACGCCCCCTCTTTCTAGAAATCCAGCTACGCGGCGACAAACCCAGACGTGTGCGGTGCGAACTGCCTTAGAGAAGCGTCAGAGGAGAGAGTGGGGAGGGGAGGGGGTCTTTGAAAACATCCCTTTCAAGATGTTTCCCGCTCCGAGAACTGAAAGGCAGTGTAACCCTTTCTCTTCCCTAGTGACCTCCTGGCTGTTGGCTGTGGGGAAACACCACGCGCGCGTTTCCTCCTGGAAGGAGCGGCCAGACAGCCCTGCGCTGAGGAGGCCGGGCGGCTCGGTCCCCCCTGCAGACGTCCTTGAGCCCCGGAGACGGAAGTGAGCGGGGTTTTCACTCCTCATGCAAAACAACCGTCTAAACATAATAGATGACATCAGCGAGGGCTTTTCAATTCCTGGATGGCAGCGGCGAGCTGACCCGGCTTCATCCTGGGTTTCCAAACCGCAACGACAGCCTGGCAGGGACAGAGCGGCCGCTGCCGGAGGGGACCTGCCGGAGGCCGGGGGCGACCAG